GTTTCTGGGCTGCTGAGGCACCTCTGGCTCTTTACATTTCTAAAGATCTCATGGACCCACTTTAGATGTCAGAATAAACGGCATTTGGGATGAGAACGGTAGTGACTTTCCGGAGCAGTGTAAGGCTGGTAGCCCTGTAACCCTACCCAAAGCATTTTCTTGCAGAGGAGAGCAGTCGGCACTTTTAAATCAAGTGGACTTCCTACTCACGGTCTGCTGTTCAGTATTTAAGTCGTGTGCCCTTCTTTCTGCTTGTGCGCTTGGCATTGCCACTCCTCCTGAACATCGCTGTAAGCAAACACTCCTTCAAGGTTTCAGTAACCTAGTCCCTCTGCCTTTGTTAGTAAGATACATCCTTGGAATTCAGAGGCTTTGCTTGTTTACTCATTGATTTAAAAATAGAGAGAGAGATATCTTTTTATTAGACACGTGGTTTCTGTGCTCATCAGTTCTACCTGCACACTATTATAAACATGTTCTACTAGGGCCCTCATACAGTTAAGGCAAAGTCTTGCCTTCACTGTCAAACCTTTATTAAGCACCAAAAGACTTTCTCTGAGGGGAAGGTGGCAAGATGGAGAATGTGGATAAGAACTAGGCTCTGGAGTCACCCTTTGCTCTGTCACTCAAATCGCTGTGGATTTGGGGCAAGTTACCTCACCTCTCTAAGACTTTTTCCTCATCTATAAAATGAACATGACATCAATATCAATATCTAACAAGGTTTGTTGTGAGGTTTATATTATGTACCTGACACATAATAAGAGCCCAGTATTATTATTAGAAAATAAAACATGGACTCTGATTTTGTGGAGTTTATAGTGTATAGGGGAAGTCAATCCTTTAAAGAGATAATTACATCAAGACAAAAGTGCTATAATTGACACGCCAAAAAAAAAAAAAGTAAGTAAAAGTACAGATGAGGTACCCATTCATTTCTGTCAGAAAAGGTCATGAGGCTCAGGGAGGAAGTACTATTTGACCTCACTTGGCCAAGAAGTGAAGGAAGATGGTTCTAGGCAGAGGAAACAGACAGAGAAGAGGCAGAGAGCCATGAAGCAGGAGAGGATGCAATCATATGGAATTGAGAACACAGTCCACAAGGAAGGGATAGTAGGCTTTCTGAATTTTGTGAAGTATTAACTCTTATTAATTCCTAAGAGGCCTGTTGAATAATCTAGTAGAGTTGGGATGTACATTTTTCTTTAGCCTGACAATCAGTCTTACTGCAGAAGATGTATTGGCCAGGAAGGGAAGGGTGGAATGCACCAAGGAAGAACTGATATAGAGGGTACCACCCACGTAACTTGTTTACCTGTCACAATGGTTGAGTCACTCAAAATCCAATCCAATTTGGTTTTCCACTCATTGACTTCTCGTTCAAGAACACTGCATCCTACTTATGTATTGTCATTCACTAAGTCAGAGAGGGCACATGCCAAGAAAAGAGGCTTCCTGGTCATAGTTACCTTGAATTTGTTCTTTAACTAGTTCATTTATTCACAGAACATATTATTTGTCACACCAGCCCTCTCAATTTGTTGTTTGTTCAATCTGATTCTCCAGAAGGCCAGGGGCTGGCTTGTCTATCATAACTATTGAACACAGCCTGGTTTTGTTTCCAATGCACAGGTGACGTTCTTTTGCACTTATGGACAAATGGACACTAAAAACTTACAAATACAAAACTTCCTCTAGGTAGAAATTCATAAAAATGAGGACACTTGCAGTGAAAATCAGAAGAGCATTCTCTCTATGCAGTGTAGGAGAGCACTCAGCCCTTGGAATAATGAAGCTTGACAAATGCACTAGTTGAAGCATATAGACAAATCAAGAAAAATTTCAAATGAAAAGATGGTGAATGAGCCCAGGTTTTGCACATTCTCTCAATGTTATTGAAGAACATGTTTTAGTCTACTTATTGCTAGATGTCCTTCGTAACAATTATTTTCTAGTTATTTTAGGAAAAATCTGCTTACATATTACTAGTTTATTTCCCCATGGTCAGGAAAAATACTTTATGATTTCAATTCTTTGTCATTCACCGAAAATTGCTTTATTGTCCAACATATGGTCAATTTTGGTAAATCTTCCATGTGCATTTGAAAATATTGTTCATTCTATAGTTATTGAAAGTATTACTGTGGATTTGGTTATTTCTCCATTTAATTATGTTAGTTTATTTCCTAGAAGTGTTAAGGCCACTTGATTAGGTGTATATAAATTTAGGTTATTAAATTTTTCTTTTGAATTGCTCATTTTATGACTATGAAATGTCCCTCTTTATTACTATTAGTACAAAATAATAAAGTAATTCTTTATCTCTGATTATAGTGGTTGAGTGATTGAGCCAATCCTGGTAGTGTAGTGGTTAAGATTTGGCACTCTCACCACTGCGGTCCAGATTCGATTCCCTGTCAGGGAACCACACCACCCATGTGTCGGTTGTCATACTGTGGTGGCTTCATGTTGCTGTGATGCTGAAAACTACGCTACCAGTATTTCAAATACTAGCAGGTCACCCATGGTGGACAGGTTTCAGCAGAGCTTCCAGACTAAGACAGACTAGGAAGAAAGACCTGGCCATCCACTTTTGAAAAAGTTGGCATGAAAATCCTATGAATAGCAGTGGAGAATTTTCTGACATAGCACTGGAAGATGAGAGGATGACGCAAAAAGACTGGGCAGGGCTCTGCTCTGCTGTACACAGGGTTGCTAGGAGTGGGAATCGACTCAATGACCAAAATAATAATAATAATAATATTAAACACTGAAATATTTGGAAGAATTAAATCTTCCTTTTGAATTTGTCAAAATGAAATCTTTTCCTTTATCTCTAGAATTACTGCATACAGAAATTTTACTTTATCTCTAGCAATACTACATAAAGCATTTTTAGTTATTCAATTTCTCCCTCTATTAGTTTGTAATACTTTTTTACTTTTCTTTTATTGTGTATCCCAATTATTACAACATGTGTCTTTGATTTATTAGAATTTACTTTAAATGAATATTTTCATTAACTTTCCAGACAATGCAGGGATCTTATAACACTTTTTAAAAAATATTTTTACAGTTTTATTGAGATATAATTGACATACAATATTGTATTAGTTTAAGGAGTACAATAATGATTTGATATATGTATATATTGTGAAATGATTACCACAATATGTTTAGTTAAGATCCATCACCTAATATAGTTATAAATGTTTTTTCATATGATGAGAACTTTTAAGATTTACTCTCTTAGCAACGTTCAAATGTAGAAGTGTTAACTATAGTCACCATGTATACCACGCTGTACATTACATCACCAGAACTTATTTATCTTATAAATGAAACTTTGTACCTTTTGACCACCTTCACCCATTTCCTCTACTCCCTCCATCTTTGGCAACCATCAATCTGTTCTCTTAAGTTTGTTTTTTTGCAGATTCCACATATAAGGGAGATCATATAGTATTTGCCTTTCTCTGCCGTACTTATTTCACTGAGCATAATGCCCTCAAGTACTTATAACACTTTAACTCCATTTCACTCTTTACCCTTTGTGCTTTTGCTACTGTGTATTTCAATTCTATACATACTTTTAAACTCACAGACATTAGTATTATTATTTTAAACAATTAATATTTATTTATATTTTCCGCTGTAGTTATTCTTTCTGTTGTTATCCCTTTTTGCATTATTGTGCTTCTATCTAGGATCATTTTCCCTAGCCGAAAGAACTCCCTTTAGTATTTCTTTTAGTTTAGGTTTAATGGTGATGAATTCTAAGTTTTTGTTTGTCTGAAAAAGCATTTATTTTGCCTTCATTTTTGAAAGATATTTTCATTAGGTATGGAATTCTCAATTTACATTTATTGTCTTTCATTATTTCAGATATGCTTTCATGGTTTCTGTTGTTTCTTTTGAGAAGTCGGCTGTGAGTTTTGCTGTCTCTTTGAAGGTAACGTATCTTTTTCCTTGCTTCTTTTAGGGTGAGGGTTAGGGATCTTGCTCTTTTTTTTTCATTTTTAGCAGTTTTCCTATGATGTGCCTTGGTATGGTTTGCTTTGAGTTTATCTTGTTTGAGGTTTGCAGATCTTCTTCAATGTATTACTTGACGTCTCTCAGCAGTTTTAGAAAATTCTCAGATAGTAGCTCTTCAAGTGTCGCTTCTTCCACAATCTCTCCTCCAACTACATGTATGTTAGAACTTTACATGGAGTTTCATATCTCTCTTTTAAAAACAGTTTTTATATTTTTTCCCTCTCTGGACTTCATTCTGGACACTCTACTGACCTATCTTTCAGTTCACTAGTCATTTTCTCTGCTGTGTCTAATATGTTATTAAATCCATTCTTTGAATTCTAAATTCAATTATTGGTTTTTTTTGCTCCAAAATTTCCATTTAATCCTTTTTCACTATTCCAGTTTAGTGAAATATTCCCATATTTTTATTTGTTTTGTTGAACGTATTAACCATAATTATTTTAGGGTCTATATTTGATAATTTCACTATCTAAGCCACCTGTTGGTTTGTTTCTATTATCTATTCTTTCGGTCACTCTTCTTTGCTTGTTTTGTTTTCTGATATGTCTAGTAAAGTTTACTTGAATGTTGGATCCAGTAGCTGAAATATTATAAGGGTTCTGAATGATTCATCATCTTCCACAGAGGATTTAATTTTCTTTTGTCAGGCAGATAACATAGGGGCAGTCATCTTCATTGACTCAAGGTTGTTTATTTTAGTCTGCCCTTGTTTTCAGTGTATAGCCCTTTCAGAAATCTCAGTTGAAAACCTGGGGTGTTTCATTGGCCTTTTCTACTTGAAGGGTCCTAAACTCCAGCTTTTATATCCTTAGCAATGTAGACTACCAAAATCCCTGCTTAGCATTTTAGCCCCTTGGTAGCTGCTTTCTGCTTTGATTCTTGGTCTCTTACCTCACACACACGCAGCTTAGGAAACATAAAATGCACCAAAACAAAAATTGCATGCAAAAAGTCAGACTCACTTTTGTTTGGTTCCCTTTTCTCCAGGAACTTGGCCCCTCAAGTCCTGGATGTTTGCCTCTCCAGCTCAGTGAGACTACCATGGCACTAGGCCACCAGTTTCTTCAGGGTTTCCAAGCTCCATGATTTGAACTGGAAAATGCCCTAGGGGAAAAAGCAGTGGCAAATATGGGAATCTCTCAATGCATGCACCTACTCTCTGGGATCTTAGCCCCTTAAATTCTGGCTGCCTTAGTAACTCTCTTATCCTTACAAACTTCTGTCTTATGGTATTTTGTCCAGCTTTTATAACTGTTCTCAATTACTCTGTCATCGTTAAAAGTAGAAATGCATATTCTCCCAGGAAGCACTAATTTAGAAGTTTTGTATTTTGTTTAGAGAGAAAGTCCAATTATTTCTAAATGAAACCTGGTCGTGATGTCTGATCTGAATTCTACCTGGATGGTAACATAAATGATTCCTAGGATTATTCTTTAAAGCTTACAGATCCCTTCTTTTATCCTTTCACGTTTGAAGCTTTGAGACAGACTTGTGTACTAAATTTATCATATGATTATGTACTTAACCATTTCTGTTACAATCCTACTTTTCCTTTATTATTATTATTTATTATTTTTCCCCCCTGAGGGAGATTAGCCCTGAGCTAACATCTGCCAATCCTTCTCTTTTTGCTGAGGAAGACTGGCCCTGAGCTGACATCCGTGCCCATCTTCCTCTACTTTCTATGTGGGACGCCTACCACAGCATGGCGTACCAAGTGGTGCCATGTCTGCACCCAGGATCTGAACCGGCGAACCCCCGGTCACCAAAGTGGAACATGTGAACTTAACCGCTGTGCCACCGGGCCGGCCCCCTATTTTTCCTTTAAAAAAGCTTATGTTTCCACCCTTCTACATATAAGGAATTGTATGATCTTCACCCTTCTTTTCATCCTTTCTCCTTCTTATCTAGCTTTAGACAATTGGATTACAACTAGCTCAGGATCAGGCACAAAATAAACACAAAATACATGTTGATGAAAGGACGAATAAATGAATAAATAAATGAAATTACTTCATTATGTGAAAATAGTCAAGATAGTTCTTTGATTCTTCCCTTTCATTGTTAACCCATCGTTTATTTTAATTAAAAATCAACTAAAGTACACAATAACTTGAGGCTGCTCTCCTAGCATCTATATTTAGTCAGATACAAGGCACTGAATTTCACAAATTTTGAGGCCATATAAAGGTATGTCAACAACTTCATTTATTTACTCTGAATCATCTATTTGCTTGTCACGTAGGTGGTCACCCAGAAATGATTTTTGACAAAAATCTCACTGTATACACTTAGCTAATCTTGACTGGTATAAACAGTTCTTGTCATGTGAATTTCTATTTGGGGACATGACATAGCTGGTGAGACATGACCAGATTGTTCATTGCCTGGTCTCATTTTTAAAAAGTATTTCTCTTAGAGTAAACTTAGAAATAGGAAGTCACTGTGTTTTGTACTGAATTTCTCTCAGGGCCTGTTCTGTCATATTTCTAGATCTTTGAGCATTTTGTCCGATGCCTCGAATATCCTTCTCACTTTTGGCTGTCTGGTGGACTGCTTCAATGCTCAAAAATGTTACCTCTTCTTTGAAGCTTTTCCTAATAGCCCAGCAACAACACAGCCTTCCTCCGCTGGTTTCCCTTAGTTTCCTGGTACTCAACTATAGTGCTTGCCTTGCAGTGGATCATTTATGGGTCTTCCTTTCTCACTAGACTCTCACAAGGGCACAGGGTGTGCACCACTCTTCTCACGAACTTCAGCGCCCAAAATAACAACTAATACTCGTCAGATCTGCAGTACAGTTTTTTAAAAGATAAAAGTCCCACAATATCAAATTTGCCCTTTTAAAGTGTATGATTCAGTGGTTTTGAGTTTATTCACAAAGTTGTGCAACCATTACCGCTATATAATCCCATAGTATTTTCATCACTCTAGAAAGAAACCCAATACAGTCACTCTCCTTTTTATCCTCCCTCTAGTCCCTAGCAACCACTAATCTGTTTTTATCCCTATGAGTTTGCCTATTTTGGATATTCAGATAAATGTGACCTTTTGTGTCTGGCTTCTTTAACTTATCATAAAACTTTCAAGGTTCTTCCATCTTGTAGCATGAATCCATACTTCATTGCTTTTATGGGTGAATAATATTCCATTGTATGGATACAGCATATTTTGTTTATCCAGTCATCAGTTGATGGACATTAGGGTTGTTTCCATTTTTTGGCTATTATGAATAACATCACTATGACCATTCATGTAAAAGTTTTTGTATGGATAGATGTTTTCCATTCTCCTGGGTATATAAGAGTAGAATTTCTGGTAACTCTATGTTTAACTTTTGGAGGAACTGCCAAACTGTTTTCCAAAGTTGCTGCACCATTTTATATTCTTACATGCAGTGTATGAGGGTTTCAATTTCTCAAAATCCTTTCCAGTGTCTGTTTTTGTTTGTCTTATTGATTATAGCTATCCCAGCAGATGCGAAGGGGGTCTCGTTTTTTTTAATTAAGGTATAATTGACATATAACATTATATTAGTTTCAGGTGTACAACCTATTGATTCAATATTTGTGTCATTATTTGTATCAACATTTGTATTGTATTGTATCAATATTTGTGGATACTAGATTCTTATCACATACGTGGTTTGTAAATAGCGTGTTGTTTGCTCCAAATGCTATCCGCCGCCTCAGGCAGCCACAAGTGCCTGTGTGTGTTTTTGACAAATTCCTTCAGGAAAAGGCTGTTTTCACTGGGTAAGCTCTGTCAGGTCAAATAAAGACAGCCGTGAAATGGGGTCTTCCATAGAATCACCGGACAGATCAAACAGTGACACTTCTCTGGGAAGGTGGCTTTAAAGGAATTTCAATCCCCTTCCGTCTCCTTCAGTAGCTGCCAGGAGGCTGGTTTCCACCACGACTGCAGGCCTTTGGGTTTTAAGGCTGCGGCAGAGCTGGGGCAGCGGGTAGGTGAGTGGGAGGGAGTGGATTAGGGCAAGTTAAATCACCAAGAAGTTTGCCTTTCTTACTGGGATTTGGCCATTTTTCTTTGAATTAATGTTCCCCAGCTTGCTGTAAGCCTTTGATTAATTTCCAGAGTTCTAAAAATGTTGATTCTGATAAATTATTTTTGCCAATGTTCTTTTAAAGAGGGAAGGATTTTGGAGGTCCTTCCTCCACCATTTTTACTGACATTCTCAGTACGGATTTTTGAACGAGAGAACGACTAAATAAACTAATTAAAGTATGCATGCCCAGTGAAATGCCCACATACACTGCTGCAGCAGGAAGTGAGGTTAGATAGAAGGTGTTCTCACTACCATGGTGGTTCACATTGGCTGTCCGGATTTTTTGCTTGAGAATAGAGGGCACCAAGTGCTACACTTCCTCTGATGTAATTACCTCCTGTCTTCTTGCTGGGGCTTTCTATCATGGTCTTTGATATTGTATTTGGAATGATAAATTTTGTTCTTATTTTTTTGCCTAATTTGGGCAGCTATCTTACCTTGAATTCAGATTCTGTGAAACCCTTGCCTCGTTAATTATTTTTTGTATTCACTAAGTTTTTCCAATGCAAATATCTTAATGAATTTTGAAGTTGAATCATCACCTCGTTTTGGCCTTCCTGGTCCTTCTTGACCGTCAGCCTTTAGGTACATTTATCTGATCTCTTGTCTAACCAGTACTCCGTATTTTTGCCTCAGGATTGATACTAAACCTCATAGCCCTTTCTAGTGATCCTTCGCCACTAATGCACTCCCCTAGCAAGATGCAAATGTTTAGACATAAATGCTTAAGTGCTTTGGTTTAACCTGTGAAAGGTTATGGGATTAGCCTTTTGGAGACATACTAACTCTTCTTGGCCACTAGGATCTAACAAACTGAATGAGTACTTTTTAAATATGTTGTTTATAAAGCAAATATTTGTATATCAGATTATATATTTGCCTACTGAAATATGTTCTAATTCTGGAGATCATTTCCCATAGAGGGAAAAAAGTTATTCTCCTCTTAAAAGATAAACTGAGGTACACTAACATTTTGAAGAGTTTATTTGGGCAAACATAGATCTGAATTGGTCATCACCAAACCAAAAATGGTTATAAGCTCTCTAGCAGCAGGAGCTAAGGGAAAAGCTTTTATAGAGCAGATGCAGAAGCAAAGCAAGGAAGTTATTTGATGGGCTATAGCTTAAGCTATTGCCTTATTTGGGAAAGCCTAGTTGGCCATAAGTTTCAATTTCTTAGCCCTGAGGCAATTACAGGAATTGATTCTGGCCTAGGTTTCAGTTTACCCATTTAGGCTGCCATGGCATCAGAACCACCTCAGTCTAATGGGCTCTGTGTTTAATTATTTTAACAGTTACATACATTTAAAATCATTAAAATTCCCTGCTTTGGGAGCCTTGAAAATACTTTTTATTCTTATTATTTTATTGTATTAACTAAGACTGTATTCTTTATTCTTCTCTTTCTCCTCCTTCAACTTCTCTCAGCTTCTGTGCCCAGACAAAAAATGTATTCAACCTAGTCAAACAAATAAAATAATTGCTTTGGTGTTTTTTCTTTTAATTGACTAATTGCTTTGCTTTTCAATAGCTATGAAACCATTAAGTAAACATAGTCTGTTGCATTTATTTCACCTATGCAATTCAGAGCCTAATGGAGTACTATCTACATAATTTTCATAGTCACATTTAGAGTTCACACAGATTATCTACCTGTTTCTTTATCAGATACTGTAGGGGAGGAAGACATTTCCTCTACCCACTATGGGTTCTTCTGGCTGGAGAACGAATTAAATTCACATGAGACAGAATAACAGGAGAAAATTAAACAAAGCTTTATAACATGTATACATGGGAGAGGCTCACGCAAGCTGAGCAACTCGCCAAAATGGCTGAAGCCACCACCTTAAATATCACCTTCAGCTAATGACAAAGGAGGATGTTGGGGGTGGAGGGGGAGTTGATCATGGGAGATTACCACACAAGTACAGTAAACAAAGGAAGATTTAAGTCCTTGCCTTTGGCATTAAGAGTTTCTAGAGATAAGGTCATTCCCCCATCTTCCTGGTACAAAGAGGGAGACACCTTTACAGATGGAG